CGTCTAGACATCCTCTACAACAATGCCGGCATCGCCATGACGCCCGCCTCCCTCACGGCCGAAGGCTACGAATCGCAATTCGGCGTCAACCACGTCGGGCACGCGCTGTTCACGCAGCTGCTCATGCCGCTGTTGCTAAAGACGGCCTCAACGTCGGCGCCGAACTCGGTCCGCATCGTCAACGTGTCTTCGTCGCTGCATGCTTCGGCGCCGAGCAAAGGCATCGTGCTCGCCGACGCGAAGACAGACATGGAGTCCTACCACAGCGCGACGCGCTACGCGCACAGCAAGCTCGCCAACATCCTCTTCAGCCAGAAATTGGCGGAGCTGTATCCGTCGGTCACCACGGTGTCTCTGCACCCGGGCTTCGTCAACACGGAGATCAACAGTGCCAAGGCTGGCGGGGCGAAGTGGTCGAGCATGCTGATCAAGGCCATTGTTCCTTGGGTTGGGCTTTCGGTGGAGAACGGGACGAAGACCCAGCTTTGGTGCGGTACGGCGAAGGAGGTCGAGAGTGGCAAGTATTACGAGCCTGTTGGCGTGGCGAAGCCGGGAAGCAAGAAGGCGCAGGATGACAAGTTGAAGGATGAGCTGTGGGAGTGGACGGAGAAGGAGCTCAAGTCTCACGGCGGCGTCGGTGTCTGGGTTGTAAGTCTTCGGCATGTTGAAGGATGTGTATGGTCTTGTGTTTCTCGGTGACGATTTGTTTTGTTTGTTTGATTGATGGAGTAAGAACTGAGATGACACCAAGAGTACGAGAGAGGTACTACCTATATATGTAGGTATTTACAAACTTCTTATGTTCTTTGATGTCGCAAGGGTTTCCCTTTTGGGCATCCTTGCCGCCTAACGCCCAACTTTGTCTTTGTCAGCTGTGCCGGGGGTTTTGCACAATTACCTGGCACTGCCTGCACAGCTGAGCATTAAACTCGTTCAGTAATGTATGGAATGTGAGCTTGTTACCAATTGTCCAAGACGCGATCAGTCAACATGGTGCGATGACTGATCGCAAGACTCTGGGCAGTAACGTACAAGGGTATGTAGTGAGGAAGAGGAAAGGCTAAAGGCTAGAACGGAGCTGGCGGAGATCAAAGCACACGCCGAGTCCGTTCTTCTGTACGCCACCATCAGCTTCCAAGGTTCTCAGCTACCTCTAGAGTACCTAACTAACTACCTCAGTATCTCATCAAAGCACCAACAACAAGGAATTGCCCGAATAGCCGGCATCTAGAAACGCCACAGGCCTCTTTATAGAAAGAACTTCTAGGGCTAGTCGACTTTCACCTTCTGTGATTCGACAACACGGTGTGAACATGCGCCGGCCGCCTCGTGGGCCGTTTCGTGGAGCGAGGCCAATAAGTGTCAAAGCTACGCGAATGCTGGCTTATATCCGCTTTCGACAAGCGAATATCAAAAGGCGAGAGTTCAGTCACAAGGTGTGGGTCAGGCCCTTTCCTGTTTCTGTCGCAATAGTCCATAAGGGTCCACACTATAGTGATGTCGATAGGTGGTATGCGGTGAGATTGGCTGGCAGTAACGCCTCCTTGCAGGAACACGAGATGGAGGATTCGTGAAGCTATCGTTCCTTGCCTTTGCGGCAGACGGGTGTGCCTGGCGATCTGCAGTCGTAGGAGCAGCCATGGCAGATTTACTCGATTCGAGAGACGACGTGGACCAAAGTAGATATTTCTTGATCCGTTTGAGAAGGTGGCCGCCTCCGGCCAGTCTGTGGTGGAGCTGAGAGATGGGATTGATATAACTGCACTGCAAGTCTGTAACCGAGCTGAAAGATGGAACCTGGAACAGAACCTAGAGTAGACACCGAGGTCGGCGCACCACCCAGGGCCCCGAGGTCACCAGACTCCTGAGTGCTGTGCGGATGACGAGCGTGGTGTGTGAAATGGCGAAAGAAGAATGATGAGTTGTGTAGAGGGCTTGCTCACGCGATTGTAATGCTTGGAAAGAGGGGCAATTCCTTGTTGTTGGTGCTTTGATGAGATACTGAGGTAGTTAGTTAGGTA